TGAGCCCTGTGGTACACCAGAAACTAGTTTCATTGGTTGTGAGGATTGATTCCCTACTGTAACTCGTTGAGATCTGTTCCTTCGACGTAACAAAAGCGAACACCGATTGCAAAGTTTTTGCTCTATCAACTGAAGCACCTCTTTCAAAACTACCGACATACCAAATTTCCAAATTGAAGTAATTGCCGTGAGACTTCCTTTTGCGAAAAATCGAAGAGCATGGCAAGCTTTAGGAGCAGAGGTATTTAAGTTGAACGAAGCCGTTGCTCTGTGTATTCACCATCATGCTACAGCTTCTTCTAGAAGTTTGGAATATGCTTTGAATATAAACACAAACAGATAATAAATTAAAAGCCCTAAAAGCATTAACTTTTACTTATAGTGCAGGCAGTGGCGCCAGGATTGGAATTGTCCCTTAAATGTCGCCTGATTGAGGCCGCGTTCATGCGGTGCACTCCCTCTTCGAAAAAATGGTTCACTGAACTTAGAATTATTGCTGAATTTTATTTAACTCTTTATTCCAATAAATTAATTTTACTAGCACTGCTTGTTTACAACCACTTGCTGGTTGCCGTACTGCCAAATTTGGATAATCGATAACTCTACAGTAACTAACGATAGTTGCTATTCGTAATACAAATTTTCTTTCCAGTTGCGTTGCCAGCTGGCAACCGAACCGTGGTTGCGTTGCTATCCGTAATCGATCCATTTGACTAAATAAATAAATAATGTACTTTCTCAAGGTATGTGGTATGAAAAATTCGTAGCGCCCATTTTGAGACATGAGTATGAATTGATTTTATATATCTCCATACCAAGCTCCAGTATTCTACCCCAAATACTTCCAGAGATTTAGATTTATTTTTAATAATTTTCATTAAAATATAGTTCGCATCACATAAAAAAAAAAAATACAAAACTTAAACAAAGTTCATAATAATTCATCGAATTTAAAAAAATTCCATCAAAATTTTAAAATTTTCATCTAGTTTTTAGAAAATTTTCGAGTATGCTGTTATATAGCCCATTTATTTTGGTATAATGAAGTGCAAGTTTCAAGTCGCTAACAATTACCGTTGATTTTGTAATTTTTTTCCTTAGCGACTTGAAACTTACACTTAACAAAATTTTTCCTTCTTATATGGCTCTGAAACCGCCTAAGCGATTTTAGCCGAGTTCAACAATTGGAAATGCCAACGCGGCGGGGCCTCCCTCTTCTTCTGCTCCCACCAGCGAGTTCCGATTTGAATACTTTCGGAACTGGAGCGTCGGTGTCCATTCGAACGGCATGGCCAAGCCCGGTTTTTTAATTCGCTGCACTATGCACATCAATCTTCAGCAAACCATTTTTCTCGAATACTCCAAGAGCCGCCTCAGCGGACGTTGCCATTGTCCATGCTTTTAAGCCATATATCAGCCCGGGCATGATAAGTGACTAATAGAGTGTGGTTTTCGTACGTCGAGAGAAGACTTTACTACTCCATTGCCTATTGTGACATTATTATCGTGTGTTAATCCTGGTTCCCAAGTAAACGAAATTCTCTAAATTCTTGCAATTGTAACTGTCAGCATTGACGTAGACGCCGGGGCGCGAATGCGCTCACTGTTTGATGACAGGAGACATTTCGTTATATCCTCGTTAACCAGAAGACCCGATCGCTTTGCTTCCTTATACAACTTGGAAAAGGCGAAACAGACCTCGCAGGTTTTTTCACTAGCATTTGCACGCTCTTGTAGTTAACTGTTGCTACGGGGTTCAGTTCTGAAGATCGTATTATATTCTCCAACATCAGGTTAAAGAAATCACACGAACTCGTGTCACCTTGTCTGAAACCTCGCTTGGTATCAAACGGCTCGGAGAGCCCATTTTGACGGAGCTGGTGATATTCCTCGACGTCATTTTGCACAGCCGTATCAGTTTCCTTTTAGAGCTGTCGAAAGCGGCTTTGAAATCGACCTGTAGTGCAATTCACTAACTTTTAACGATACGATTTGTCGAGGTCTAAGATAACGATTTTTGTGGTTTGCAGTAACGATTGTGTTATTCGGCAACTGTTTTTTAACGACACTAAACAGCTGACATTTTCGTTTTATTTAAATAAAAGAAAGGTGGCATCACAGCTTGACGAAACGTCAAAAATGCGAAAAGCACAAAGAAGAACGAAAAACAAATAAATTCCTTGCTTGCAAAGTGGCATAGACATAGTTTTGTGGATATTTTAATATATTTTTACAAAAAGTAAGGAAAATAAAACGTTTATTTATTTTGAATTATTAGATATAATCATTTTCGCATATTATAGAATGGCTTCGTCAGTACACAGGGTTCAAAAGAGAAACCGGACCACAACAGAACAACTAAGTCGCATGGTGGACCTTTTGACGCAAACGCCGGGATTGGCAGGATCAAGGTCCCAGAAACTTCATGGCAAATCGGACTGTGCCAAGAAGTGGAGTGAACTAGCGCAATGCTGAATAGCCTTGGTGGTGCGGTGAAGAACGTCGACCAGTGGCGCACAGTATGTAAAAATTTTTTAGTAATTTAACACCACGTAAAATTTTGTTTTGCAGGAGGGAAGAGCCGTACTAGCATTAAGGTGCGCGATAGAAAAAGAAAGCAGGCAATGACGGGAAATAATCCCATTAATGAAGAGCCACCCCCTGAGCCTGAGAGGCGTGTGATTGCCCTTGTCGGTAGCGACTATGTGCAGGGCCATGAAACTGTTGCTGAAAGTGTGCCAGTGAAAGAGGTAAAAATCAAATAAATAGTTATGAATAGCACAGCATTTAACAAATTTTCTCATCATTAGGAACTCCAACTGCGTATGGAAGAGGGTGATGAAAGCTTTGAAGATAATTTTTTGTACATACTAAAAAATAGTATTACATTCTTATGTTCTTTCAACAGTTAGCTGAAACAAGTACGGCAAGTGTGCAGGTAACGAAATCGTTGGCCGAAGCTATGACCACAATGGGGGAAGGTTTAAAGGCATGTGCGGATGGCTTTAGTAATTTAACAAACGCTATTTACCGCTTGTAAATATTGTGTAAATATGTACTTTTTGAAGAAAATTTTTGTTTTAATTTTTTTGTTAGTGTTAATCGTTTTAAAAATAAGTTCAAGATCTTTTTTGTTTTTATAGTTATGTTAGTTAAGTTTTCATTTGATAGAGCATGAAGTTCTTTTTTTTTTGTATTTATGTTAGAGTTAACTTTTAATTCGACATAGCATGAAGTTAACTTTTTACATTTAGAATAACTGTTTAAGATATTTGAAGAAGTTTTACATATTTGAATTGACATTTGACTTAGTACGTGGAGATCTTTATTTGTTTATAATAAGCGAGTTATTTGAATTTCTGTTGATTTTCAAATGAATTCAATGTTTACAAATTTAGTTGATAAATACGGTACTTACTGCATGTAAGATATAGCACATATATTTCTTATATTCAATAAGTAATGAAATTTCCTTTTGTGAATTTATGTTTTAATTTTGTGATGCGCCTGTAACTTGAACGTGCTTTTACGTGGTGTTTTAATTCACGCCATATCATATTATAGAAACTGATCTGTGATTACATACTGAGATCTGTCTTTTGATGGACCCTATATTTAATGAATATTTTCATATATAATTCTAGACTTTAAACAAATGTTCTCAAATTAAAGACAAAATAAGACTGAAGTCATTGATACTAGAGTTTTTATTTACATAAAAATGTTTAATATAATTACGGTGACCATCCGTCCTTTATTTTAAAGGACAGTCCTTTATTTTAACCCCCTGTCCTTTATTTCTTAAACTGTTTTTTAAATCGGCTCTGCATTTTTCAGAGGTAATTTTTTATACGACGAATATGAAAAATAAAAATGTCCCTTATAAAATATAATGAAAACCTTCGCCAGTTTGTTTCGCACCCCACTTATGACTTTCTATTTAATCAGTTATCTTTGTACAATCTATAAACCACAGGGAAAGTTGTGTCCAGGAGCATATTGCACGCTGAGGTTCCAGTTCCACTGAAAGAGAACAATAAACCTCCTACTGCACAGTGGTTCAAAACTGGCATTTAGTGTTCGTAATTCCCCGGAGCCTGCATTTTTCACTTCATTTGATTAATTTAATTTTTTTTTATGAAAGGTTACAATATTTGCAATAGACCAGTTGAGCCTGATTTCTGAATTTTTATTTGATTATATTAATTTTTTTTTGTGCAAAATGCAGAAAAAGTAGCAGTTTTGAAGAAAATGTATTCTCCTGTTCCAGTTAATAAATGTTACATAACAGAAACTAGTTGAAAACAATCGTATGGTTCAACCCATGATAAAAACAATACAACGTAAAATCATTGAGAGGCAGTCTGACGTTTGCCAGCAATATAATTTTAAAATTCGAACTCAATCTCACACACACATTCTCATTTTTAATCTCAAACAACAACAATCGTGAACAATTTAATTTTTTTTATTTTCAATTTGATATGATTTTAAAATGTTTGAAAACGTCAGAAAAAGATCATGGCCGACGAATTGAGAGAATGATTTTACGTTCTAGTGTTTTTATCATGGTTCACCAAAACAAAAAAATACACAAAAAATAAATTTGAAATGTTATAAAAAATGTGCACCAAAATATATTTTTGTTTGCTTTTTAGTAAAACTTGGTTGAAAAATTAAGGCTCCGGTGGATTATGAACATTAAATTCCAATTTTAAACCACTGTGTGCCCACTTCGGCGCGCAGTATAAATAATGATAAACGCATTTTGGTAACAAAGGATTGCGAAGTCCTTGAAAAAGGTTTGGCTTCATTTTTCGCTACAGCACGGAACTTGTACAATTAAATAATATAATTAACGGATAAATATTTGATATAAATTACGATATGGATAAGGTACTTTTATCATACAAGTTGTATGTACGTATTCCCAAATCATTTTGAAAAAATGTCCTTTATTTTACGTTGGTTAATATGGTCACCGTAAATATAATGCCAAAGTAATTTTATTGTATTTCTTCTGAATTTTTATTTATTAACGTTTTATTTATGTAAAATAATTTGCAATTAGCCGGTCTTGGACGCGTTTTGCTGTTGAAGACGGCGCGTCGTGATTTACATTACAGCTATTTGACCTTGGCTCTGGGAACTCACTCTCGGGATCGTATGTTTGGTCACCCAATCGCAAGTTATGCAACACTGTGCATGCATTTACTATTTTTCCAGTAGATCCAGGATCATACAAAAGAGTCCTTTGCTGAGATAAGCATCGCCAAGTTCCTTTGAGAACGCCAAAAAGTCTCTCGACTGGGTTTCGAGCTTTGCACAATGCCTCATTATAGCGGAATTTAGGACTCCCTTCTGGTTAGTTTGGTAGAGGAGTCATCAACCACTGCTCCAAAAGATATCCTGAGTCACCTGCAAATATATATTCGACATTTTCAATTAAATTGATTTTAATAAATAAGTTTCAGTGGATTTAAAAAGTTACCAATAAAAAACATGTTATGGTTTCCATTTTCAAAATTTCGCTGCAGAGGAGCTCCAAATAAATGAATCGCGTCGCTCTCCTGGGTATTTAGCATTGACAGCCAATATCTTTAAATTTGGATCACATATCTATATTTGTATAAAATAAATTTTATTCTCAGTAGTTTAACCCTTGAGCAAATTTTACTCTTACCATTTGCACACTGAAGAATGGTATCCATGGTGGTTGACATACGCTTCTTCATGATTTTTTGGGCTCATGATTGACACATGAGTGCAATCGATAGCCCCAATAGTACCTCCTACAAATGGTGCGGATGCTGAGGCGAAAATTTCTTTTGCAGCTTTCCGCTCTATTTGGGTCATTGGAAACCTAACCTTTGCCAAAAACATGGTGCGGTTTATTGCATCCGTTACGCAATGTATACAGTGACTTACGGACGACTGGCTCATGGATATCCCCCATTGCTCTCCGATGGGACGTTGATAAGAGCCAGTTGCGAAGAATCGCAAGGCAGTTATAACCTTTAAAATTTACAAAATTCAATTGTATATGAAAAATACTTGAAAATTACATTATTTACCTGTTTCTCTGCCGTTATCGCAGTTATTCTTCGACCCCACAATTGGCTATCAAGCTGGGAAACAATATCTTCAACCAAGTCTGGGGTTAAACAGTAAAGGTTACGAAACTCAGTTGCAGCCAAGTGGAAAGGGCTGTCCACTTCTCGAAGCAAACGTCTATCTACTGATGAAGGACTTATTATCTCCTCATCTTGGGATAAAACGTATACCAAATACTCAAATGCCATTTTTAACAAAAAGTTTTTCCTTTATATCCCTGCAGGGAAAGCTACCAGTTGGGAACCAGAATGCTACCAGTATGCGTTTCAGCCCAACTAGTTCACGTTGTATCCTTTTTCAATGTTAGCGACTGGTATTTTTAACATGGCGGTGTCATAGGAGATGTGAACTGTCCGCTCCTGCATCAGCACGCTACCAGTAGAAAAACTAGTAGCATCATACCAGTTGACGGGATAGACTGCCTATTCATCCCCCGTGAAAAGCATAAGTATATTATTTTGCTCGCGGCGCTGCAATAGTGGCAATGGTCGACAGAGTAAAGCTTTGGCACGCCAAATCCAGAGATCCGAGTTCGAATCACAGTGAGCGAACCTTTTTTTTTTTTTTTGTTTTTTTTATTTGTTAATTTTTTTATTTATATCTCTTGTGTAATTTTTAAATTTATTGTTTTAAAAAGAACAAAAAATTATTTATTTTAATTTTTTATGGTATTTGAGTAAGTATTTAGGTTTTTTCCAAATCAACTTAAATTTATGTACAATTTTTATTTTATATTTAAATTGAAATAATTATTTAAATTAATTTACTTACTTTACTTTAACAACATCCACGCGCACTCGAACCTGAGATCTCGGAACCAGAATCGGTAGTCTTCACTCGACGCCACAGCCGACAATTGTGATGAAAGCAATTAACCACGTTTTAGTTTTGGTTATGTCTATTCAAAGACAGATGTCGCTAATCGCATAAGTTGTTCGAAATCGCCGAAATGGTAGGCCGTCGCTTTAGCACATACTGGTTAGTGAACTAGCATTTATACTGGCTGGTTTGGCATTTCACTGCGGAGAACTGGTATAATTATAGTCCATGAGGAACTGGTATGACTCTCCCATTTAATACCAGTTTTCAAACTAGAATTTCTACCAACTAGTTTAATTTTTTCTGCGCGAAACTGGTATAATTATGGTTCATAACGAACTGGTATGACTTTTATCCTTAAATAATAGTTCATGAACTGGAATTTGTGCATACTGGTTTAGCTTTTCACTGCAGGGATATTATTTAAGTAAAATCGTGATCTATATTATTTTATTTTAAGTCAAAAGAAATATCAAATTTACTTTGTCGATGCCTCTAACAACTTCAAAATATTCGTCGTTTATTTAACGAGTAATCGAGTAAGTAGTTAACGACAACAGCTGATCAAGCGATAGCGAATTTCGTTAAAATATGTTTAGCGAATTGTCAAATCGTTAAAATCGTCGTTAAGTTTTCTTAACGATTCGATAATCGTTAAAATAGAATGGCGAATCCCAGTACTGGTCTGTGGTGGATTTACCAGGTCTATATCCACAATGATAAGGTTTATTTTTCTATAATATGTATGTAGTCGCTCTGAAAGGACGAGTTCCAGAGCCGAAATTGATATCTAAATTTATTATATGGCTCACCGTTTCATAATATCGGAAAAATGCTTAATTTTTATGAATAATAAATTATTATGAATAATATAGTGGGGCAATAATTTAGTAGGAGTTCTATTATAGCTCTGTATACCATTATTTTATACTTTCTCTTTAAGAATTTGCACGTACGTCGCATGAAGTATAACTTCGTTGCGATTTTGCTCACAGTATAATCATTAAAGTTTAACTTTTCGTCGATTTTTATACCCAAATATTTAAGGCATTGCAGTCTTTCTAATGTTTGCTGGTTTATATTTAATTGGCCTAAATCATTATTATCGCTGTTCTTTGCATACGCTTCTTTATAAAACTTTCAAACCAATTCAGTTTGATACCCTTTATTCCTATATTGGACAACTTTCTCAATAGTAGGTCTTGATCTAGTGTCTCAAAGACACGTTTCAAATCTAAGAAAACAGCAATTATGTATTTGTTTTTTCTCAGTTCTTCTTTCCAGTGAACAATTACCAAATTCGGGGCAGTTTCACATGAGTGCTCATCTCATCAGCTTTAATGGTATTTTTAACCTTTTCTATTGGAACGACAGTGGAAATTTTCCAAGAAGTTGGAAAAGCACCTTTCTCTAAACTCTCGTTAACTATCTGCATGTAGAAGAATCCTAAATAAGTTACTGCATCTCTTATGACTCCTTCAAATAAAAGTTTTCTTCCTCCAGTTCTATTTTTGAAAGAACCAGATTTTAATTACTTCATCAGTTTCTATTTCTTGAAATTTAAAATTGTATGCGAAATTCAGAAGTATAGAAAATTCCAGGGTTCAGAAAAATTCGTTTTCAAATGATTAAAATGAATTCATTTCATTTGTATTTGCGATCTGTGAACGAATTTTATAACAACTATTTGTTTTTGTTACCTGGCGACGATTGTTTTCTTTTTTGTTTTCATTCGGAATAATGTATTTTTTAATTTTGTTTGCGTTCTCATTAACTTCAAAGGTAATTATATTGTTTTCATTCGTTATATACGAATGAATATGAACTGACTCATTCCCTCTCTGCCGCAAACATTTGCCCGAATTTATCACTATTTAGCGATGTATGTATGTAAATATAAATTGAAGAAAATGTATTTATTTTAATTCCCTTGTTTTCAAAGCACATTATTATAAATTAAAATTATTTCAAACATCTACATATTTACATATGTATAGGGCGAGTTCCAAGTTGCATGTTGCTTTGTATTTGTATAATATTGTGTGCACATTTCGCATCAATACAAAACAACATCCAACTAGAACTCACCCATAATTACGTACACTAGATAACAAATTTTCAAAAAAGTTATGAGCTCTGGCATTTGACCATCATTTCATATTTAGAAATTTCCGCTGAGCACAAGTATGAAGTCAGATATTAAGATATACAACTTTCAAAATATCGTCTACGAAAATTCACTTATCCGTATGAAAGCAAAATACTGTTTTGAAAATAGCTGAGCATAGATCAACAAATGTTCCTTTTGACGTTAACTCGAATATTGCGAATGAATAGAAGAAAGAATGAATTCGAATCATTTGCGAACGAATTTTTGTTTTTTATGTTGAATATCTCGTAGTTATATTACAGACATTTTTAATTTGTTCGTATTTTTATTTGCTCAAAGTGGTTGCGCTTATGCTCTATAGCTCGAATGATAAAAATAATTTTTTATAATCGAGAATTTTAAAAATAGTTCAATTCGAGCCAAATGTTTGCTGTAAAGAATTATTTGTGAAATCAATTAATATTTTAAATATTCTCCTAGTGCGGATCGGTCCCCATACAAAAAAAAAGTTTTTCCAGTCCACCCCTAGGATTAAAGATATTTTGAAGGCGATCCCAAAAAAAATTGTTTTTTTTTGCCACGCCCCCCGATGGGCTATTTACTTTTTTTGACACTACGTCGCCAATTTAAGTCCGATTTTAATGAGCCGTACACCGTTGTTCATGGCTTGGAAGCCGCCACAATTCTTACCTTAATCATTTTTTACTCCGAATTCAAATTCTAGTAGTGACTGTCGGTATCTCGTTTCACATCATACCTAAATTCCAATTTTTTTTAGTCTGTCGAAAAGGCCTTTAAATTATGTGAAACTTTTTCTTTAACAGTAACTACTTTTGTTCATAACTAAAAAAGTTATAAAGGTTTCAAAAATCCAAATATAACCCTGTGTTAAATTTGGCAATTATGCCAAATTTTTTTTTTACTAGAATTGGCAACACTGGTTACTATTACTTTTAATTAAATGTTTTTTGTTTATGCTTACTCAATCTGTTATCTGACAACACTGTTATCACCTGATATTTGCATGCTTCTTTTGTTGTCTTCTCTATGACAAATTCTTGCTTTTTCCTCTATTTATGTAAAAATTATAGTTGCGTGCATTTGAATGCATTTTTTAAAAGCTTTGATCTGCAATCAATCAATCGATTTTCAGCTTTCGCAAAGTAAACAACGTAGATTAAATTGTGGCCTTTTAAAGACAAATAAAGAAACAAAAGTGAAGTGAAGTAAAATCAAAAGCAAAAATAAGTTAAAAAAAAAATCACAAAATGCCGTTTGAAGCGTGTGATATAGAAAAAAATAAATTACCAACAAACCAACAAGTGATGCAATATTTTTTACATATAAAGAAAAATGGTGCATCAAATATTAAAAAAAATCAAACTTTAGTAAAATATATGCATGTGATTACAAATATGGTTTGTGAGTTGTGGAAATATACAAACATTCCGATAGTATGTAAAACTACAATTAGAAGGTATTTGAAAAATCTTCTGATGTCATATAAAGATATTGTTAAAAATCCAAGTAAATACGATAGTAACGAGATGTATTGGAATAAATTGTTCGAAATTTCAAAATGCAAGTGCGGCATTGAAAAAAATTCCGAGTGCTTATGTTCCGAAAATGAAAAAATTCCACCAAATATGGTAGCATTCTTTATCGATCAGAGCGGACCAAGGCTTTTAGCCTTTGATGATATCCACGTTGATAACATGGAGATCGATATGATCGATCAAGGTTCAAGCATTGCCGGAGTAAATCAATCTCCTTTTACCGTTTCATATGCACCAGGTTCAAGTGAAGAAACTGAATCTGATGATGAAAATAATGACGTATCGCCGAACGAAGAGCAGCTGAAAGTATCAAACATATCGCTTAATATTTATGCTGTAGCTTTAGATCGCACTAATACCTCGGATCGCACTGGATCTTTACTTGCAACAACATTCATAAAAGATTTAGGACATTCGATTGCTAGAAAAGCGAGCAGAGATTATGAAGGTATTAGTGAAAGAATGTTGAGTTTCTTAGACGATCTCGTTATTGATAGAAATAAAATCCGGAGAGAGCGAGACAAATTTAGAGCAGAAGTTTGCTCATCTCGAACCGCCACATTCGCTATTTCTGTTCGGAATGCATACTCATGCCAGCTACATTAAGCAAGACTCTTGACCTAATATCGTCGACACATAAACATGGGTTGGAGTCCATTAAAAGTGACTTTGAGACAAAATTCAAATCTGTACACGAGCAACTCAACGTAGTCAAAATTCAATTAGAATCCATAAGCAAACAAATTTTCAATGACA